TCGGAACATTCAGGGCCTTGCACTGATACGAGCAGTCTTGTTCTATTTATAGTTTAAACTTTCGGCAGACAAATAGGATACTGATTCCATTTTCGAGTACTCTGTATACGTATCAAGGCTTTTGAAGTTTTCGTACCCTGCTTCTTTGTTTCATTTTGTGGAATCTTTTGACACCATTAATTTGTGAAGCGGTCAAACTTCTAAACTAATTGAACGCGTAACTCTACTTATTTTTAATCTAGTTAAAATTTAAATTCTTTACACTGACATTTTTTTCGGAAAATTTATTGCTCAAACAATTGAAAACTATGAAAACTAGATCAAAATTTTGTCCATTTTGCCAAAATTTTTTTTTCTTTATTGTGATTTCATAATTATTTCGACATACATTGATGAGCTAATGTTCCATATGAATTCAACACTGGACCTATACTCGAGCCCTCGGGGGCGCCAAAATTCAAATTGTCCATAAGTAATTGCCCGTTTCATATCAAAAATTACATCTTTTACGCGGTCGGTTAGGCATAGTGTACGTTTACTCTCGAAAATTTGTCGAAGTTTTCCTGAAACTTAAGAACATTGTCAATTGCAGTAGCGTGTCCATTTTTGGCTGACCAACCTCTCAATTTTTTAAAGACACCAATTTTACTAATTTTGAGGGGAAGCGCGCGCCGACAAAACGCAATTTTTTGTCAAAATTTTCCAAGAAGTGCCCGAAAACGCTGTTTTTTGAAAATGTTGCGAAACAGACTCCTTTTAGTATTTTTGGGGAGCTGGGATTATCCAAATGGTCTATCTCAAAAATAAGGCCAAGAAAATGTTGATTTTTTTTTAAAAAAAAACCGCTTCCCCCTTGGAAAAATTTCTGCGCACGCCACTGGTCAATTGGTACTTTTTTGTGAATTGTTTACATTTTTCAAAAGTCACAGTGATCGTTTGAACCTATAACTCTCAAATAGAAGAATAAACAGACACTAGAGCTAAAATGGTCCAAACGCTTGATACTAAAATTCTGCATCAATCCTCTGTAAAAAATTCCAAACTATATTTTTTCATTTTTGAAAAAAAAATTCAAAATTTTCAAACAATCTTATAATTGAAAAAAAAAAATTCTTTACAGCAAGATCATTGTACTTTTTTCTGTATTTTCCTATATTTCTTAAATTGAAAAACGCTAGTGCAATACTTGAAACCCTGGCAGGTTGTTGAAAATTCAGGTCCAATTTTTATCAAAAAAAATCTAATTTTAAAATTGAAAAGTTTAGAATTTTTTGGAAATGCTACGGTTATTTGATTTATAAGTTTTAAGCTTTTTTTGAAAAAAATTATAAATTGCTAAACATTTTGTTTTTTTTTCCGAAAAAAAAACAAAAACCAAAAACTTCCTAAATTGAGAAAACCCATTGCTCGATCGGGAAGAAATCTCTCATAAAATTGGCATATGTAGATTGTTTATGTTCAGATAATGCTACACAATTTACTCAGTGCTGTGAGTATAATCGGAAAATTTTATATCAAAAATTTTCTTATTCGAAATTGTGGTTTGCATTTTTTTGACAGACTAAAATATATTTTATGATTGAAAGCACAAAAATTTCAAGTTTGGATTCGCGCAAACAATCATACTGTAAAAAAAACTCGAACCAAATAACTATTTTGAAAACTTTTGAGCTGAAAAATTAGTACGATTGAGCTGTGAAAACCAAACCACAATTAAAACTAAAAAAAAACATTCAAATATTTCATAATAACTTCTGCTACTAAAAAAAATCTCTAAAAATTTTCTAAGCTTCTCGATAAAAACTTTAAAATTTTGTTAACAATGTTTCTAAGAAATCCGGTTAAAAAAATGATCAAAACTTTGACAACGAGATGTTTTGGTGAGGAGGTGAAAAATTTTCATAAGAAGATGAATGCTGGCATTGGGAAAAATTTTCATACCGAAGTAAAATTGTATATCTTTGAAAAATTGACATTAAATTATTAAGCAAAAATTAAGCTTTTCAAAAAAGTTGAATGTTTATTTTTATGTTTGACAAAACCCAAGAAATGCTTTTACGCATCTAAGAAAGGTGAAAAGACATCAATTATAGTGGATTTTTTGGTCTAAAATTGTAACAAAATAATTGATTCCCATGTTGCACTCAGACAACAAAATAGAAGAAAAAATCAAACATAATTCATTGCTTCGATCAAAATCAAATTAATTATAATCCACTAAAAATTAAAAAAAAAAAGATTTTTTCCATTTCACTTTTGTTTCGCTCAAGCAAAATTTTTTGCGTATATCAAATGAGTAATGCGGAAACTTTGCAAAGCGAGTGTAAAACCTACCCAATTTCTAAACCTGTAATGTCTCAAATTGCAAAACTTTTCCGTTAACTAGTCCCCTTCTCACTAACGTTTGCCCCTTCAGCCCCTTAGAACCCCCACCACAACGTTTGCCCTAATTGCCCCCGTACACCTGAACTACTTGAACCATCCCCACTCACCTGACCCTACCCCCTCCATCTGAACCCTCAACCTTGACCACCCGCCCCCTGACCTGAACCAGACCACCACACCTGAACCGACCCCCCATTTGAACCACACCCCTCCCTACCTGAACCACCCCCCCCCCCCCCCACCTGGCCACCACCCGAACCACCTGAAGTACCTCCCCACATGATCTAATCCCCCCGCTGCCGCCTGAACCAACCCCTCCCCCGCCCGTGTTTGTTCAGTTGGTTTAGACGGAGGGTTGCTTCAGGGGGAGTTTGGTTGAATCCAAGTAAATTAAAATATTTATTAAACGTCAAACATAGGAGCAGTAACAGTAACAAAAGTCAAAATTTCGCACAAAAAAGTTAAAACTGAACAAAAACAACCAATTTTGGGCAAAAACGTAGAAAATTTTTTATGTGCGTTGAAATTCGCATTTCAATAAAATAGAAATAATTCGATTATAATAATTTTTCCTTGTTTTTATCTAAAAAAGTGAAAATAATCAATCTTATTGATTCGCAATAGATTTTAATGCTTTATTAAACAAGAACAATATAATCTATTTTTAATTGATTATAACCAATTAATTTTCACTTTGATAGACACTGACGATAAAGCTTGAATTTAATCGCTTTTTTTATCCGTGGAACTCCAGTGTGGGCTGCCATGTACAAAGGATTGTTTTTTGTAAATAAATGGGAACTAAAAGTTTCTCTCAATTCAGTTTGAAATAATTTATATTCCGACATATTTTCTGCCTGTGCTACATATTATTGATCCGACTTGCGTAATTAAAGTAACGGAATATTTGGGCTCGTGGTGGGTTTTTTCAGACAAACTACAACTTTTTAACTAGCCTTTTTTGACAGAATTTTTTAACATCAATCGAAAGGTAGTGTTGTCTTGAGCTTAAATCTGAAAAAGTTTTTCACCTGTAATCTTTTTTCACATAGTTATGACTCTAAAGGTTGCCATTTTGACCAATTTCGGACAATTAACGCGCGATATATTTCGCGCTATTAACGCGCAAGTGGAGATTTAATCGTCTTAAAAATCGTTCCAAATTGGTTAAAGGAAGCTTATTTGCCAAATTGATTTGTTAATGGGAACAAACTATCACTTTTTATTTTATATGGCGTGTGGCGCGATGATTTTCACGAAAATCTCATTTTTTAAAAAATAATAATTTTATTTTATTACATTTAATTTGTTTCAGATTCTTACTGCTCAATAGACCTTAAAAAGCAGTCGGAACTTTCAGGGCTTCGCCCTGAAACGAGCAGTCTTGTTGAATTTACGTTTCATTGAATTCATTAATTAACCCGAATTTAAAAACTTCACATCCCCATAGTTTCAAGATTATAGTTTTGCGCGTATTAACAACCCAAATTAGCATTTTTCAAACACCCAAGTTTTCACAGTCATATTTTTGCTCGCAATAATTGACCTAATATGTCTAGGTTCCAATCCGCATAAATTTACGAGAAATTATCGCAGATGGAACTAGCTCAGAGCTATCATTTTTAGAACAAGTCATCAATATTTTTCAGATTGAACCTACAACATCCGTCAAAAACTGCTACTTAAGAAATCAAAATTTGTCCGAAGAACACGAAAAAACACATCGAGTAAAAATATTCGGTGATATTAAAAAAAAAAATTGAGAAACAACAAAAGGTAGAGGCTTTCTAGTGCTTCTCGAAAGTGACATTGTTATTTAAAAAATTTTCCGCAGCAGTGACTTTCAAAATCACAATCGTAGAAAACGGAGGTCAACCGTGCAAATGATCCTATGGAAAAGAAACTCTTTTATAATGCTTTGAACTTTCAAGTGATAAAAAAAAACAATTGCAAAGGCCATTCGAATCCATATGAATTTTTCGAATAGTTATTTCCATAAAACTCATTTCCAAAACACTTACATGACAAGACAAGAAAAACTTCAACCGGTTATTTCAACCGGAAATACTTTTATTTCAACCGGTTATTTCAAATACTATTTCAACCGGTTATTTCAAATACTATTTCAACCGGCACGAGAGGAGATTTGATAAGCGTCGGTAACTATGCTTAAGTTTTTCTCCTCTCAGTCGAAAGGTCATTGGTTCGACGCCCTTGGTGACCCACGCTTCTAATTGAAACCGGGTCAACATATCTCACGACAGAAAAACTTCGGGATGTTGTTAACCCGCGGCACGACAGCAGCGCTTCGTAAAGAGTTTGTCAAACCGTGAGTCAGTTTTCCCCGTCATAGATTAATGGCTGTTGAGATCTCAACTTTAAAATCAAATGAGTATACTTAGCGTTTAAGTTCGAAGCTTATGATGTGATCAATTTTCTCATTATTCTTTCATTTTGATCATAAAAAACATCAAAATTGGTTTTTGTTCTCTGTCTGTTCAAAACATAAAATAAATGAATATTCATTTTAATCTACAAATGATATATAACCACGAAAAAAAAATGAAACTTAGATTTTGTAAAGAGTATTGAAAACACGCGTTGCTTGTTAAATGGTTTTTATGTACCATAACCACTAAATTACGGCTTCTTAACTACAATTGTTCAATTATTCTCAGTGGTTTTTTCTGTTAGCTTAGAGCTCACGACAAGAGCTTTGTCGAGTCTCTCAAAATTTGTTAAAAACCTTTTGTCATTTTCAGACCAACTCTGTGCCAATGCAATTTTCACTACTTAATTATTATGAATTAATTTATTGCCAACGGTTTTTAGCTCAGTATTGAATAAATTTTAAATTGAAAAATCAAAACTAATTAACTTATTATCATTCGAATGGCACAAAAAATGAACAGCGAACTTGCGAGATTACAAAAAATTGAGAACGATTTGACTTTTCTCAGCCAGAATTCAAAAGATGGAAATACTCGGAATTCGATGTTTCCAATTTTAGAAGACTTAAAAATGTTAATTAACGAAACTTACTTTGAAAAATGGACGAGCCAAAACGTACCTGAATTTTTTATGGGCAACAACTCTGAGCAACGGCTTTCGTCGCCGACCCGTCAAGATTCAAGCGATATTCGAAGCTCAATCGAAATTCTTGTCTCTTTTTACCAAAATTTCCAGCTTTATTCGACCATCGGACCCAATTTAATCAGTTTGTTGAGTCCATCACGCGACCATTTGGAAAACGCGTCATCGGTCAGTCGGAACAAGAAGTGTGATTTAGCCCTGAGTAATCTAGCTAGCCGATTGATAACTTTGCAGAAAGAGCAAGGAACACCTCAAGTGGCAATAATGAGTGGTCTATCTGGCAGTGGGAAAAGTTTCAATGCAATTCAGTTGGTGCGATGCATACTTCAAACTGCCGATGGATCAAGTGATGAAATTCAACAGGGGAGCAAATTGGAGAAAGTGAAAGCATATCATCAGTGTATAACGTTAGTTTATAATTGAAGTGTTTTCTAGCTCGTGGGTTAATCACAGACTTTTAACCTAAGGAATAAAATTCAACAGACATCCAGGATTATTTGGGGGATAAAATTCTTTTGAAGGCATTGACGCTCAGATCAATAAAGCGCTTTCTGATTCGACTCTCTTGTCGCTCGCAGAAAGTTAAACCCTCAATTGGGGCCACTACGGTATCAAATTCCAATTGACTTGTTAGAAGCCAAAAATACCTGTTAAGGAAATTAGCAAGGTAGTTGCAGTTGGTTCTTGTTGAAATCATAAGTATAACACAAATTACAAACCACTGGACCAATTATCATACCATGTGATTGAAAAATGAACTTGAACAAGTCAAGCAACTAATCTAATTTGAGTCAGTTTATTTTTACTATTGAAAAAAAACTATATTTTTGCAAGTCATTTATGATAGAAAATAGCGGGATTGAAAATCTTCGCAATTCAATGCAAATGATGCCAACTGTTTTTCTAATACACGGGAAAGTTCAAACATGCTTTTAGTGAGCTGTTTAATAAGTTCACCAATATCAAGGTCACAAGTCTTTTGGAAGGGGGATCTTATGACAGATGGGTCCAACGTGATATTTGGAATGGATCAAGAAATTTTATTTTTAATAGTAAGTCGACAGTTATTTGGAATTTACGTTAAAAGTTCACTAACTATTCCTTTTTTCAAACTTATCACTTTTTTGAAAAAATGTATGGACCACAATTTTATAGTGAAAAATAACAAAAGTTGTGTTTTTTTTTTATTATAGGTTCCATTTTCAAGCAAAATTGTAAAGCTACCCAGGTTGTCAAACATTGCCGTTGACACCTTTTTCCATGCAATTTTTCAAACACACAGTACATTTTAAAATATTAGATGAAAAATTGGAATAAAAGGAAGATAGTTAAAAGGCATTGGATTAATATGGGCCTGATGGTGCACGAATAAGGGGAACTGATCAACTAAAAGAAACTATAATTTTGTACTTACAGCTTAAACTTAAATTAAATTTGGTAATTAATGTGTTTTCATGCAAAATAGCTAAATTATAATCCATAATTATTGATTTTTCTTGTGAAATAAAATTTTCGTAGAAAAAGAGATTTTAATCTATTATAATAGAATATAATAGATTATAAGAGATTTTAAGAGATTTTCAGAAAAATATAACCAAATATATTTGATTATAATTTATTAAAATGTCACCAAAAACGCTATCATTATAATGGATTATAAATCGTTTAAACATCTAAACTTGGCGCTTATAATTGATTATAATTTTGCTGAGAGTACGATCATAATTATAATATAATCGATTATTTTCTCTTTTTGCTGAGTGCGATTACCTTAAGACTATGCTATGGCTCTCTGATAATAATGTCATTATAGGCAGTGCTGATTTAGCCCCCCCTTCTCAAAAGTTGCACCCCTCACCAACTAAAGGGCCCCCTTGGTATTTTTTTTATGACATCCATTTTCGGCTGACCAACGTTTAAATTTTCTAAAGGCGCCTCTGGCGCCAATATATACTAATTTTGAATGGAAGCACGCGGCGAAAAAAGAAATTTTTTGGTAAAAATTTCCAAAACGTGCCCAAAAACAGCAATTTTGACCTGTTTTTTCAAAAATTTGCCTGCGGCGCAATCATTTTCCGTCAAAATAAGGCTTTTGTTCGGGAAATCATGTCTGTCAACCTAAAAAATAAGGTCGTCAAGTTTTTTGAACTTTTTTTTAAAAATCTCTCGAGAAAATCCTAAATCCGCTCATGCTTATAGGTAAGCTTCCAGCTCTTTACCAGCATAGCCCCTCGCTCCCTCCATCTTCTTTAAAAAAATCACAACTCTCGACCGCACAGGCAGAACGTAATTTTAAGGGAAGTTCTAATGGAAGAAAATCAGAACTTATTCATTGCTTACATAACCTATCAGGCGCAGAGAATGGTGTGGGGTCAAAAGGAACGGCAAGAAATAAAAAAAAATACAATATTGATAGCAGGGGCGGATCTCGGATTTTATCCGGGGCGGGGGGGGGGGGGGCAAAAAGACCCTATTTTGGCCAAACTTTGTGCGCCGCTAACTTTTGGAAACTTTTCGGCGCGCGCTCCCCCCCCCCCCCCCCCCCCCCTCTCAAAGTTCGTATATATTGGCGCCCAAGGCGCCTTTAAAAAAATTTTGGGTCGGTCAGCCAAAAATGGATATCTCAAAATAGTACAAAGGGGGACCCTTTGGGTCGGCAGGGGGTTGAATCTTTAAAAGAGAAGGGCGCCGCATCCCCCCCAAATCCGCCCCTGATTCATATCGTCGGTCAAAAAATCAGCATGAAATTGCGAGCCGAAAAAATTTGGCCCAAAGTTTTTGCGAGCAATGCGAGCTCTCCACGCTGCTAGTTCGGTTAACTTTTTTTGGCTAGTACTTTCTCATCACTCTGGAACCAGATGAATAACATTTTTTGATCAATTGGCTGACTTGACAGTTCTTCCATTAAGAAAAGAGTCTGATTTTCTTTTTTTTTTGAATGAAAAATCGCGTATATCTGTTGAATAATAACACATTGGTAAAAATTGTTTTCTAAATCCTACCTTGAGGCTTATTGAGATATGACAAAAGCCAAACCTTAAAGCTTGTTGAGATATGACAAAAGCCAAACCTTAAAGCTTATTGAGATATGACAAAAGTCAATGACTTTGTGTGGAAAAAGTGATTGTATTCCGAGGCGATTGAAGCAAGTCGCTGTTTTTTTTATTAAACCTACATTTTAGGCTGTTTGCAAACTATATTTCAAGAGAAAGCCAGAAGAAAAGGCCGGGTTAAAGCAAGCAGTTCTCAAGTGTACTTTGTTAAGTTATAGCTGAAACTTTACTTTTTATATGTCAAAAGAAAACTTCAGGACAGACTACAATTAAATGATTCAGTCACGACAAAAAGCAGTCAAAACACTCAAAGTTTTTGCATTGATAAGGTAAGTTTGATTTTGCAAAGACATGAGTGAAAAACTACTTGTTGTCTAAAATTTGAGTTAGGTCCTTGAGGTTAACTCATAGAGTAATTTCGGATAGGGTACACCGTCTGCTCGTCACGCTATCTTATTTTCGGCCGGATAGATTCGTGCAACTTCTTAGTCTAATACCGATCCTAATCTTACTCTTATATCTACTAGTATCAGGGTGTTTAACTAGTCTCTGCTAGGCTCAATAGATCTAGAGTACACTGGCTTATTGCGACTGCTGAAGTTCTCTTGGAGAGGCAACTAATTTCTAAGTTAAATTCAAATCTCTCTGGTGCTGAAATTACAAGTAATTTCAGCACTTACAAATAAGTGGGTTGTTAGTTGGATGGATTATGATTAGTTAATATTAAATATTTTACAGTGGTAAAATATCTAATTTATCCAATAATAAAATGTAGTTTAGATCAGGTTCCACCCATCCGGGGTTTACAGAGTTTTTTAGAACTATCTTTCTTCTCTGCAATAGAAGGATGGATGATGAACGTTGGTATTCGGCGAACATCATTTTCTTATCCAGTTCCTCTTGAAGAAGAACGTTCCAGGACGCTGGAATCAGGGATAGGAAGTTGTTATTACGTCATTCGACAACGACTGTGATCCCCAATGAAATCAATCCGATTTCCAAATAATTTGCTATGTCAAGTTTTTCTGTATTAGTAGAGAACTGTTTTGTGTGCAGCCTCGTCTGGGAATGGCGTGAAGATCGTGTTTGGAAGGGATGCCTTGTAACTCGGATCTGTACGTATACTTGAGCATCGAGGTGGTCATTGGTCTAGTTCAATGAAGTCCTTTTCCGCGAAGTCAAGTCGTACTCTAAATCCTTTGATACGTGATTGTGGACGGCATGTCGGTTGTGTTTAGCCATTCTTTTGTTCGAGTGTGATGGGATCGTCTAGTCTTTGGATGTTTGTCTTTGTTGTTGTGTATGATCTATATACTGCAAAGTATAATTTTAATTTTATAAATTTATGTTAGTTTGTTTTTTTAATCATGAACTTGGTTAGTCGTTTTCACAAAAGCGTTTTGTTTGAGTTCAGTTATTTTGAAGAGTTACTCACCCTTGAGTACCTCTTATTAAAAATTGAAGTGTGGTCACAAAGCGGGTGTGTAGCGCGGTGGGTTAGGCCGGCTATAAGCATGCTCAGGACGTCCTTCTCTGGTGGGTTAGGCCAGAAATGGGAGTATGATTGCATGCTGTTTCTTTGAGAGGTCCTGTTATGTGATAACGTTTTATGTTGGTTTTTTCTGGTCTTTCTAATGTTACTTTGGTTGTGTCCTTTTTTTTCCAAAAATCGAACTGTTTTTTGTTTGGGTTTGTCTTGCGACTTTTTTGTGTTTTATTATTTTCTTTTTTAGACTTTACAATAGTCTTCAAAAGCATAAATTATACAGTTTTAAGCTGGGTTAATCCGGTTTGGGTACCGTTGGTTTTCTTTTCTTAGTCATGCTGTCATTTTATGATTTGTGGTGTTTAGTAAGCTGCGTTGGTTAGTTTGGTTTAGTATATAATTCCTTTCCAACCGGGTTAAAGGAAAGTTTGAAACTTGTTATCGTGTGTTAGAGTTGTTTATAGTGAAAGCTTGAAACTTAAAATCATTATTTAAACAATTCTTCGTGGGCGAGCTGTGCGAGTTTGGATAGAATTCTTGTGCGAATGAATGAAAATATTGAAAAGGTTAGTACTGTTTTCTCATTTTTTGAATTTATTGCATTGAATTTGAATTTTACTGCGTTTTGGGGAAGTTTAAAATTATAAATTTTCATCGTTTTTAATTTTACTGCTTCGTGGGGAAATAATTTATAAATGAAATTACTACAATGGGTATGAATTTTACTACATTATTTAGTGCTAAAGAATAAGGAGTTTGAATATATTTTAACAAGTTTGTTTTTTTATTTGTCTTTTTCTGTTTTGTAGATGATTGTAGTGTGAAGACTAAAAGAATAAATCAAACAATGATAGAAAATGGTTAGTAT